TTTAGGGTTTAGGGTTTGAGGTGTGATTCAGGGTTTTGATCTACAGCAGTGTTTCAGTATCTTGGGTGAAGGGTTCCGGGGGTGTGCAGGATTAGAGCTCAGGAATGTTTAGGGTTAAGAGTTCTTTCCAGGCCGGCACCTCAGGCCAGGGTTTAAAAAAGGATTGTGACTCTTTTTTTGGATCTGCGGTCCCAAATGCTAGGCCAAGGCTTCCAACAACACATTGAGCGAATTCTGCGTGGAGACGTTGGTTGCCATGAAGCCCACGAGGCCAGAAGTCATCCGGGCAATCCCCGCCTTCTGGGCCTTGAAAGTGCTTCGTGGAGTCTGTCTGCACAGAGGTGTGGGACAACATTACGACCTTGCAAAAGTAACCGCCGAGCTGGATGAGCTTCTGGGTTGCTGTTGAGGAAATTGATTTAAGTTACCATAACGGGTATAGTAATTAATAGGGTTTTTCCAATATAGTACCTTGAATTTAATTCCTTCAGTCCCTATATTCCCCCAGTTTCCATTTCATGTTCCACTTTCTTTTCCATTTGATTCTCCATTACAAGGGGATGATATCCCTAAACCCTAAGATGGTAACTTCCTTCACATCACAACCCAGGTTTTGGTCTCATAGTTGGCAGACTCGCGCTTCGCTCAAGTACGCTTGCGTTTTATATTTGAACAACAGTCTGCCGGCGTTCTGCCTTGGGATTATCTTCTCTTTGGCAGCTGCGGGCTTCTACATCGCTAGAATCCTTCCAGCGGCAGCTGGCAGAGAACACTTTGAGTGTTTGTGGTGCACACCGGCCGGTGTGATTGGCTGCTGCGCTGGTCTTCTAGTCTGGAAGAGACGCAAGCTTGTGTTCTTGGATGTGGCATGCATAGACCAAAGAAACCCTGTGCGCAAAGCTGAAGGCCTTATCAGTATGGGTGCTTTCCTACGAAGCTCTAAGCGTATGCTGGTGTTATGGGATATGTCATTTACATCGCGATTGTGGTGTGTATTCGAACTTGCTGCATATCTGCACAGCCACAGAGGAAAGAAAGCGGACCTGGTGGTTTGCCCAGTTTCTGTGGGCTCCGTGCTCCTTGTGGGACATTTTGGTTTAACGATGTTTTACCTTTTGTTCATTTTGTTGCCTGCGGCAGTGTCGTTCTATCCATACGGTGCCTTGCTGATGGCATCCCTCTGCTTCCCGAGCTTCACTGCGCTTGCATACGTAGTCCTGGGACACTGCCGAAGCATTGAGACAATCCATCACGAAGTTCGCAACTTCACGATTGAGCATTCATCCAGCGGCTGCTGTGCTAAGGGGCATATAGACAGGCGAACCAATGAGCCAATACAATGCGACCGTGATATCATTTCTCGCTGCATTATTGCTTGGTTCGGGTCATTGCAGAGCTTCGAACACCATGTGCGAGGTCAGGTGCGAGAAGTTTTGATCCACCAGCTGACGCATAACACGTTCACATATTGGCGCATGGTGCAGCTTACAAGTCCGGCCCTGTTTGTTGGACTTGATCGTTTGGCGAGTGCTGTGGTCCGTGATGCAAGGTTTCCCATGGAGCTAGTGTTGCTAATTACGAAGGACTTGGGCAATTTGAAGCGACGTCACCCGACCTCACCCTAAATGGTGGGTTATATTGGGGAAATTGTACCAAATGGCCTTGAACTGGGAATTGAAATAGTCTAAATTACCCTGAAAGGACTGGCTGATCTTGCTGCCAACTCTGCTCCTTGTTCTTTTGCAGCTCACCTACAAGCTGCGTGGGAGATGCGGGACAAAGCTGAAGCTTACTTCGCCAATAGAAGAACTTTAAACTTGTTGGGCTTCCTTTTTGGGTCTCTATAATAAAGTCTAAACTTTTTTAAGCCCTGGTTATTGGGGAAGAGAGGAAGCAACTATTGGCCTCTTTGCTGTGTGTTCTCGTCGGGGTGGTCATCTTCGCTGCAGTCATTGTTGGCGAGGGCGTCTGCTTATATCTCATTGAAGACGAAGCCTTGGCAAGACTTGTCATTTTGGCCCTGCACCTACCAGTCGCTTTGTTCTTGTGGTGGCGCATTCCCCGAGCCGAGCACACGCTGGCATGATCCCAGGATATGTACAGCCGTCTCACGAAATTTCTTGCCCAAGGATGAACAATTCCTATACTAGGTTTATTATGTATTATGACACATTGCGTTCCGGGTTTTGTTGTTTAGGGGGTTTAGGGTTTAGGGTGCCGACTGGTGCCCCCTATTTGTGGAAATCCCAGGAGTGGACCTTGGCTGTCATGGGACAGAGGATCCTTTCTTTCAAGCACGGGTCCATCTTTACTTGGAGCTTCATTGGTAGTTGTAAGATGTTGTAAGTACTGCTTATAACTTATGACCCGAAAGAAGGTCATTGTCCTAGTCACGGCCCAAAGAACAACGGCAGAAGATACGCCAGCCGATGTGGGATGCAGCGGCCCTTTGATTGAACCGCCATGCTTTCTCCAGCGTTCGCTGGCAGTCTTTTCTGCAAAATGCTTCACAAAGCTCAAGACCCATTGAAAAAAAAGAACAACACCAGACTGCTTCGGAAGCCAGAATGGCTGTCGGAGAGTCGTTTCAATTTCCTGCTCAATAAAAGTGTCCTACAGCGGACGGAGGCCGGACTGTCTTCATCCACAGTAGACACGTACGTTTGATACTATCTCACCCGCATGACCCAACGTACCTTATGATTACCTGGGAATAGCTGTACTGCAGTATATGAAGGTCATGCATGGTTTTGATTTCGAGTATGAGCAGTAGAGTTACTGATTGTTAGTGCTTCGGCTGGTCCAACATGGACGGGCTTCCCGCTTGATCTTCAGTGGATCTCGAGCGAAAGATGTTGGCGACGCGCATCTTTGGGTGCTTTGGCCAAGCTTTCCGGTTAGTGCGCGCATCATTCCTCCTAGGATATAGGGTTTAGGATTCAACCTCTGCAAGGTGTCCCCAGAAATCTGCGAAGCATTCGTCAAGCCTCTCAATTTCATCCCTTTTGCTCCCGTAAGAATATTGCACGGTGGCTTCCTACAGTTTAGGATTTCGGGTAGCAGTGGTTTCCTCCAGCGTAGGGTCCAGGTTTTAGAGTGGAGGGAGTAGTATGTTGTAATCGCTCACTCCTAAACCTTAAACTCTAAAGTTTACCAGGATGGGCTCTTAGACTTTCAAGGGAACTTAATCTCCCCCTTATTAAGGTACTAATAGGGTTTTTCAGGGTCTAATAGCACATACGGGTAAACCTCAAGCCCGAAAAGGAACTGCATAGTAGACCCTGGGTAGACATACACCCTAAACCCTAAGCCTTAAACCCTAAACCCTAAACCCTCAACCTATGACTTTCTAGGAGTCGCAGCTAGAGTTTTGTCAGCTGAAGTTCTAGGGTTTTGGGTTTAGGATTACGGGGCTAAGGATCCAAGCAACAGATGCCTGAATTTTGTACGACCTTGTGCTCTTGTCTACTATCTGGGCATTTGTTTTGACTTAGGAGGTATCCGGAGGAGTAGAGAGCAAGGTTGCCTTTTTGCTTATTTGATCGTTTCAGATCTGTCACCAGGCATTGTACAGTCATTCTTACAGCTGCTGCTGCTGCTGCTGCTGCTGCTGCTGCTACAATGGCCTAGAAACCAAAAAGGGGCCGCAACAACACACCACAGTTCGATCTCCCGTACCTTGTATATCTCTATACATCGCTTTCCAATGCTTTCTACTTATTGCTTCCTGCGGAACCATCGGAACCGTCTATACATTGACTCAAGCCCCTCACAGACCTAAACTGTAAACCATGCATACCCCTATGTGTGCCTAGATTAACCCCGTGAAAGCTCCATTGCAATGAAGTACTCCCTAGTAGGCTGCCCTAAACCCTAAACTTTAGACCCTAAACCCCAAGCCCTGAAACCCTAAACCCTAAACCGTGAAATCCTAAATCCTAAACCTTAAACCCTATATAACCAATTAAAGTAGTTTCCATTTTCTTTTCCATCATCCCCATTTACCCCCCAATATAACCCCAAGATCACCCCCAATGAGTACAAGCCCTAAACCCCAAAACCCTAAACCCAAGGAATTCTAAACCCTAAACCCTATAAACCCTAAATCCTAAACCTTGAACCCTAAACCCCTAAACCCTAAACTCTAAACCCTTAACCCTTAACCCCTAAACCCTGAAACCCCTAAACCCCAAACCCTAAGTCCTTAAACCCTAAATCCCTAAACCCTTAACCCTAAACTACCAAAGCTGGCGGCGCCAGGTCTCGGACAGCAGCGAGGGAAGCCGGCCAGGCGCTCCAGTGCTGATGGCCCAGCTTTCTCGTGCCCATGGCGGAAACTTAAGGTTTTGGAGTTCAGGGGGTTAAGGGGTTTAGGGGTTCAGGGGTTTAGGAGTTTAGGGATTTAGGGGTTTAGGGGTTCAGGGGTTTAGGAGTTTAGGGATTTAGGGGTTGAGGATTTCAGGGTTTAGGATTTAGGTTTTAGGGCTATGGGATTTGTAGGGGGTTTGGGCTTATGGTTTGTAAAGGCGGGTCTAGGATTTAAGGCTTCGGCTTCAGGGGTTGGGGTTCAGGGCTTAGTTTCTTCAGAGCTCCGACGACCCCTTTTGATTGAGCCAGGTACCTTGAGATGGGTTTAGGTTTGAGGGTGAGTACTGCCCCACTCTATATTAGGGGTCCTATTAAGGGCTATATATAGCCATATTATAAATATTTTCCAACTGTTACTGAGTGGGGGCAGTATCCAAGGTTTAGGATGTTTCAATCCTTTCTGAAGTGAAGAGACTTCTTCTTGCAGTCCCTCGGTCAGAGTCTACTTTGGGAAGGACAACTACCTGCAAAAGGGGCCAAGCACGTGGATGTTAACAATGAATAGGGAGGGTGCTGAGGGATTAGGGCGGGCATTACACGGAGTCATACCGAATTAGGAAATTTCCACCTTTCCCCGGAAAGCATTGGTTTCAGATGTATATGTGTTAAACAAGTGCTTGTCAAGAGAGGCTAAAGCAGTTCTTATTGGCCCTAAACTCTAAACCCTGAACCCTAAACCCTAAACCCTAAGCCCTAAACCCTAAACCCTAAACCACTTCCTTGGGGGTCCTGGCCTTGTTCTTGTTCTCGGCTCTGACATCAGTTCTCATTCACGACTGCACCTTGCAAAAGATAATAGGGCACCAAAACACAAGAGGGGGGGGGGGTGGCCTGGCCACACCCTGCAGGGCCAGGGCCCTCGAAACCTCCATCAGTTATAGTTCCCATTTTGTTGTCCATTATCCCAATATAGTCCCTACAAAACTCCCTATATAACCCCTGTACAACGCATAGAACCTTTGGAGTTTCCACTGGCGCAGACTGTTCCTGGAGTTGACTCTCCAGATTTCAGGATGTAGGTCACTCCATGACCCTTGAAACAAAGAGGGTTGTGGGTTAAGGGTTTAGAGTTTGAAGTTTAGGGTTTAGGGGTTGTCAAAAAGTGGCCACCGTGATGGCACAAAAGGTGCTTGTATATTGTGGCTGAGTTTATTTTTCATGTACTCACTTATGGACAAATTTCACAAATGGCGTGCGGGTGGAGGTGGCAACACAAGCAGCCAAAAAGTGGGGCGAAGGGGAAGCGCGGATGTAGTGTAGCAATGCTAATTGAATCTTGGAAGTTTAGGTCAGCAAATGATCAAAGCGGAGTGCTGGCATCCACTAAGTATTGTCAAGCTGTAGTTAAGCTGAGCTCGTAAAATGCTAGCAGCCGTGGTGTCGGCGGCGGCGGTGTCGGCTGCGGCGGTCGTGGTGGTGGTGGTGGTGGTGGCGGCGGCGGCGGCGGCGGCTGCGGTGGCTGCGGCGGTGGCTGCGGCGGTGGCTGCGGCGGCGGCGGCGTGGTGATGATGGTGGTGGTGGCGGCGGCGTCGTCGTCGTTGTCGTCGTGTTTCGCGGTATACCTTGGATGCTGCGCCCGGCCTATAATAGTCGCCCGCGATTGTACTTGTAGACGTATTTTATCCTTAATAAGGGTCGTGCAGAATTGGGTAGGGGCAGTAGCCTTTGCAAACCCCTAGCTGCCCCGGATCCATATTGCAAAGAGGAATTTGAGCTATTGAAGCCCCGCAGAGTTCGTAGGCCCCATACCTCTTTCGGAACCCAGGCGCCCTTCGAAGCTCATGATTTAGATATTCCCCCACGCCCAGCAACAGTTCGAGAATGACTATATACACATATCGACTATAGTATGGCAAATGCTTGTATAGTGTAGTCCCCCGTCCCCTATCTCCCTGCAACTATCTGCAAGGCTAGCTACCCCTGAGAAGCCCCAAACCCATGGCCCACAACCCTCAATCCTACGTAGACCCCTTAACTTAGTACATTTCTGTGGTTCAGCATAAGAGACCTCACCAGAAACATACCAAAGTCTACAAAAGAAATCAACTTGGATTTGTATAGCATACTTACCTATGTAGCCATAAATAGAAATCCCATTAAGGGCCGTGGCGGAGCGGGGGCAGTAGCCAACTCATGCTTCACAAGAACCCCTATATAGTACGTATATACTTCTTTCTATTTTCTTTTCCATTTTCCCATTGTAGCTATTAGGGTTTAGGGCTTAGGCTTTATTATTACTATCTTACCCTAAACCCTAAGACCCTAAACCCGAACCCCTAAACTCTAAACCCTAATCCCTAAACCCTAAATCCTAAACTCCAAACCCGAATCCCTAAACCCTAAATCCTAAATCCGAATCCCTAAACCCTAAACCCTCATCCCTATTACTATTGTTAGTACTCTAAGGCTTGTGCAGCTCCAAGCTCTGAAGGCTTTGCTGACAGCAAGGAGCAGCCCTACAGCCAGACTCCATCTTGCAGGGGTTTAGGGGGTTTTGGGGTTTTAAGGGTTTAGGGGCTTGGGGGTTTAGGACTTTGGGGTTGTAGGATTTAGGATTTTAGGGGCGAGGATTGATGAGATTAGTGATGGGAGTGTTGTTGGATTTAGGGGCTTCGCTTTTGCCTGCCTCCTACTTGAATATGCAATCCCGAGAAGCCCTGTGTAATCAAGATTGGTTTAGGGTTTAGGTTGGGTACTGCCCCCCCCAGTAACAGTCTA